AAGCTGCCGTGTCCTTGCCCATCGATAGGGAATGAAATTATCACACCGTGCCTCCCATGCTCAGTGCTTGGCGCGTTCCGTTGGTGCACGGGGCATTATTGGTGTCGCGGGGCCGCCGTCGCTTTGAATTTTGACCTTGCTCAGATCACCTTGGTATTTTGTTGGTGACATGTTTCCCGTACGTTGGCAAGTCGATGTATGTCTAAAATTCCACTAAATTAGTTAGGCGTTGAACTTTTTTACTGTGTATCCGAGAACTGTGGGTTCGTTGCGCGGCGGACGACAAACCCCACAATTCCTACTTGTACGCGATGGAGGTTTCCTACCTCCATCCATGCTCCATGGGCAAACATTCTAACTGCTTGCTTAATAAGGGCGCCCTCATTAAATTCTATGGTTCTCATTTCTTTTGCCACTTGAGATAAGGTCGGTCGGTCGAAAAAAATCCTTTAAAAATTACATGTTGCTGGTGTAGGGCTATGCACGAACCTCAGTGGGCCACGAAAAGGTGCGGTATACCGAATGTTCACGCGAACGTCGACCGTCGCTGTTGGTCGTTTGCGAAATCGTAAGTTTGCAGGGCTTTTGTTTTCAAAGGTCATGCTGGCCAATTTTTTTCCCTTCAGTTTTTTTTTTTGGGGGTAGGTCTTTTTAACAGGGTTGGCGGGGAAGAAAAAGCTTTTTTCCGTGATCGGGAGCCCAACTTGAAAGTGGGGTCGGTCGGAAATGATAACCATAGAATAGTGGGCACTATCTGGAATCGTTGAATACAATTTTCTAAATGTTATATTCAATATTTTGAATTTTAATTCGGCATTTAAACAGTTAATTCAACGTTTTAAATGATGATATAATATATTACTTGAAGAGGAAAATGTAGAATTATTAGTACTTAAATTGTTGAATTGATTTTTCGACTGTTCGAAAAATGATATTTAAAATGCTAGGTTTAACATTTAAAACATTTCTCTCTTTCCAAGAGTTGTCACTGACCGCACTCTTTTAAATGTTGGATTCAGGCCATAGGTCAGCCTGTTGAATCTTTTCAGGTAATTGTTTCGTTCAAATTACTTTCAATAATCAGCAGCAGGACGCTCGAAATCAACGGGGACTGAATTCTTTCGCATTTTTGTTTTCTTGCATGACTAGCGGAACTCGGACACCGAGTCGGAAATTAGCCTTCTCGTCCACACTTGGCGCACTTTTAAGGACCCCCCTGTTCTCAGCTCCGAGTCAATATACGAAGGCTTTGTCGTAAAATTTAGAATTTATGTACACACGCCGGTCAGTCACAACAGCTTCATAAAGGCCGTGCACTTGACCTCACTCATCCAACACAATTAAGAAGGTTACAGTCACCTAATTAATCCATGATTGAATGCCGTGCCCTTCGCATGATAACTGAACTGACCGGTGCAGTGGAACACTGTGCCGCTTTGTTAGGTGCTGGGCGCGTGCCGGTCTACACTGCCGAGGACCGACCGTGCTTGAACGAATGGCTGAACTCAGCCTGGCATTTTGTTGGTGATTGCTTCCCGTGGGTTGGCAAGTATTCATGTATGTTTATGACATGATGGTTTGAGTTCCACCAAATCAGTCAGGTCACATTTTTCCTGTACAATTAAAACCAAATGTGAACATCCTAAAGGGTGTGCCGACTTAATTCGACGTACACTGTACATGTACATCGTAGAGTCAGCTCCGTTCCGTATAGGCCTATGTTGTAGTACAGAGTAGCCTAATGCATTCAACGGTCACGATAGTTACTTTGTCTAAACTGAAACAGCCGAGATAGCTTTCATGTATAGTTTTGTACCTGAAGTTCGGGAAGGAGACACGATTTTCTTGGCCAATCGATGACTGAAGTATTTGCAACTCATGCTGCAGCGCGCTGCAAGGATTGCAGCATTATGAGTCGGCATGTTCTCGTCCCAGTGTGAACAACCGTGACGTGCCAAAGCGAATCGGCACGTGCACAGGTCGTTAGTACTCATAATGTTCTCTCATTAGTCTCAGGAATAGGCCTAATTGGCGTGAGCAGGCCGGGCCCTTGGCCGCGCAGAACCCTGTCGGTTTTCAGAACTGTTCTTACGAGGTAAGAATTCACCATCTTTGCATCTCTCGAGCAAAATCATTAAATAAATTATGATAGCCACGATGTGACAGCATTCGGAACAGTTTATGGTTTATTAATTTTATGTGGTGAGGCTCGTAGCAGTAGCTTTGCCCCTCAGAGAGGCCACCAAGATTACAAGAGAGAAATCCTTCCAACATCCCCAAATGATTGCTTCAGGCTGAAATTGTGGTTCTTGGCCAGCCAATCCTTGCTCACGTCAATTGATTCACCCGTCAAAGAGTCTTCATTTCGTACTGTACACTGCAACCAATTGTAAGTTTTAAAACCTCTGTTCTCAATGTTGTTTTTCCGGTTATGCGATGCAAGTTTGGCACAGAAAATGCCTTGGGAATTAAGATGATCCCCGGCTGAAATTTTATACCGACGTGTCGATGCTTCTGATATGTCTGAAACCCATCTGGCAATCATTTATCTGTTTAAATAGTACTTAACCCTCTAAATGCAAAAGGCTGGAAAAAATTGAATTTCCAAAAGAGTTACTCTCTTTTTTTAACCATAGACCACTCTAAAAAAGTGAAAAATCACTCCACAAAAAGAGCCATATTGTAAGGGACAACTCTTTTCCGAGTGTCTCTTTCTTAATATGTGGATCCTTGAAAGAATAGAAAAATTTACTCTTTTAGAGTGGCTTTGAAGTATTTTTATAAGAGTGATTTTCCCCCTTCGAGTGAGTGCCACATGTCACTTTTGGAGTGGTGTTCGCAGTGGACCACCTGTTTTGGAGATACTCTTGTGCAGTAGTTATAGGGAAAACAATTATTTGTTTTAATTAATTCATGGTTGATATGAATTACGGCTCAAGTTTTATCAATTTCTTTCATGATAATGCACAACGCTTTATTTGCACTGGCCTTGCGACACAGAGAGCGTTTTTCAAATCACAATAGCATCCGCCACATAACGGGCGTGCCGCCATTGCTTTCAATTGAAGCAATGCTGGTGCGTCCGGCCGACGTCCCTACACGGACCTCGAGCTGGACGCTCGTCGCTGGACAGGGCTGATGGCCTTGCACAGATTTTAGTGAAGGTCACGCGGGGTCTGCAGCTAACGACGCGCAGAGCGTTGTGAGTAAATTTCTGCCAGGGGTGCGAGCTCGCTCAACCTGACGGTTATCAATTCGATATATTTCCTTTTTCTTCCTCATTGCTAAAAATATTCTCACCACAAGTTTTTGGTTCATCCGAAATTGATCAATAGTGGCTTGAAATATATCGCCAAAAGACACGTGATCAGTGATTACTGTATGAGATTATAATCATGCTTTGCGCGTGTGTAGTTCAACCCAGCAGCAGTTCATGATAGCTTCACGAGTGATACGTATTCGCTCGTGCGCTTGCCTATTGGATTTATGTATACATCCTCGCGCACGCCTCGCGTGCCTATGTGCACAATGTCTAGACTCGTGTTGAGTCACGTTGCACTAGCCCATATAAGTGTACCACACGTGACCGTATTTAAACCAACCACGATAAAGAACCACGAAGACTAGTGTTACAGCATTTAGCAAATCCTATAACACACCTCGGTCAGGTACTAGTCTTGGAAATTTTTGACGGGTATTGCGCCTTCTGGAGGCTGAATTGAAACAGTTAAAACTCTGAAACAATATCTTTCTAGTTTGAGGCCTCGGGAAATAGGACCCTCTTTTGGTCATTCACAGTCCCTCGAGGATATAGACGTGCACTAGTGACCCCATTGCCAGTCCATATGTGTATATTATTACACATTCAACTTGCACGTTGTTGAATAGGGAGACTGTCTGGGGTATTTATGAATAATCATTATTGTCAACTGGCCATAGTCTGTAATCTTGCCACTGTTTCTGATGAACCGATTTTCATTTTATTCAATATAGTTATACACTATGGCCTCGTCGCCCAAGAGCCACTGGGAGTGGCTAGAAGAGACGGAGGCGTTGTTCACCAGGTTGGAGGCGGAGCCAGGATGGACGCAGATGAGGAGTTCGAAGACCGACCACCAGACCAAGCACGTCTTCTCCCGGGCAGTGACAGAGAACGGGCCCATCATCCATTTTGGGGTTTTCCTGCACGAAAACGACGGAAAGCTGCGGGGCCTGTGTCAGTTTGGGGAGGATGCCAACTCTTACATGAAAGGGTGAGAAAGATTACCTAGCTGAAGCCACTCTCGAACCAACTGTATTAGATGTCAGTGGCTGCATGGACACTGCAATGCGCAGGGTCCTTGCTGCCACTGATATTAATCTCGTGGAATTTTGTCGATCTTTGCAAGGAGCTCCGTTTCTGGAAGCCAACTTATCACAATGGATCAGGATGAAAGTGTTTTGCATGAAGCAAAACTTTACTCGCAGGACCATTCAGATATTAATTCTACATTTTCAGGACCTTTGAATTTGCCCGCCTTTTCTTACCAGAGCATTTTGGGAAATCAAAATGTCAGCACTGATAACAACTTCAAAGCATCTGGTATCGAGGGGTTTATAATTTATGCTCGCTTATGCTTCACGAAAAAAATCTTTCGGCAAACCCCACCGTGATGTAAAGTTTGTATGTCGATTTTCTGGCAGATTTTTCAGGAAAACATGTAAAATTTGCATGGAGGATGAACCTACCTTCAACCCCCTCCTGTAAATAACCCCGCCCCTCCCCAGATTAGCGATTTTGTTAATAGTTCTCTTCCCCCCGACCTCAGATTGGTTCACGGCGGCGCCATTGCAACAATGCACGACACCACGACGGGCGTTCTAGCGATGAACATGGGCGCCAAGTTGATGTACACACGCTACCTCAATACCACGTTCCTGAGGTAGGTGCCAGAATAAATACCGACGAATTTTCGGCCACCAAAGCCCAGAGTTTAGCGTGGCAGGGACAACTGAAGTAAACAGAAAAATTTTAACATTGGAACAACATTTTCAAAAGGAACGTTATACAGCATCGATTTGTTTAGTTTCGTTTTCTCCGCCCGGCCTATTCCTGTCAGGACGACGGTCCTCATGGAGGCTGTCATTGACAAAGTGGACGGCAACAAGACGTTCTTGAAAGGATACCTGAAGAGTCCCGATGAGAAAACAGTCTACTCAGAATGCACAGCTCTGTATGTGAATGCCGATAAGGCTGCTGGAAGTAACATGTAATTGGATTTTTTAAGGAACTTGTATTATTTAGTGTCAGTATCTTAATATTTCTCTCTGTTTTACTTGTGTGGTTGTGTAAGACGGATGCATCATTTGTGTTCTCTGGTGCTAAGAAGCAAGAAAACGATATTGTTTGGTTGGAGAACGACACTCGCGGTTCCTTTAAAAGAGCGTTTAATTGCGGACGCTGTAGTTAAACTCAAATATTGGGGAAAATAGTGAAAGTCGATCGCTGTGGTGGAATGAAGAGGAATCTTTTCAGGTTTTTCACTATGTTGCCGTTGGGTGCGTTATGCTAGGAAAACAATGAGGAGAGAAATCACTGAAAACTTATTTTTTGTTGTTGCAAATTCGAGTCTTGGAATTTTTGGTGGTGAAAGTGCACGAGGTAATAAACTCACCTTTTAATTATCACTTGTCTGTTTTCTCTCTGACATACATGTCTTACCAGTGAGAAACACACTCTACCCTTTATACATAAAAACTTTTTACTTTAAATGAACTATTAATTTGGTGAAATCATTGGTTTTTATCGTTGTTCGATATTTATCGACAACAACGAAACGTGAGTCGTCTGCTAGCCTGCACAAAACGCGATTCTGTGTCTGCGCAGTGAATTAAGTACTGAGTTTGCGCAGTTCTGAATCCACTTTTCAGTTTCGCTGGTTCCAGTCAGAGCTTGAACTTGTGGTGTCTAACGCTGCTTCAAAATGGCTGGAACCAGCGAAACTGAAGTCTAAGCCAAATCCACGGGTTTCGAAAAGGCCCTGAATTTCCTTGGGGCAATGGGACGCCGCGTCCGGCCTGTACATGTACATGTGCATGTGTGTGTATTGATATAAGGAGTTGTCAGTTTCTGGAGCCTTGAGAGAGTTAACTGTCAAGGAGAGAGAGTTCGAGTTAAATCTTGGGTAAAGAGACAACAATTGAGTAAGCCGACCTGTTGCATCTTTTCCATTGTATTGTTTCATTCACTTTCAGTATATTCAGCAGCAGGCCCCGGCTGTTTCTTTTATATGCTCGTGTTCCATATCGGACTGTCGGAACACTGAAATTCCAAGCCGCTCGTCCATGTTTCCAACCCTCCTGTTCTTGACTCGGATTTGAAGGATTCAACATTGTGGGAATTTATGGACACACAGACTTACCGCACTTTATACCGTTAGGTCAGTCAGAACCCTCCACCACTATAGCTTTATACAATCTATGCAGTTGACCTCACTCATCTAACAGGAACCTACATAAAGGTCACCCGTTTCGAGCAGACAACTCGGGATGAATGCCGTGTCCTTGACATTATCATAATGCGCGCAATTACATGTACACGTACTGTACATCGACCTGTAAAATAATTTAAGTGGAACACTGGGCATGTGCCTATGCTCACTGCGTGGCGTGTACCGGCAGTGTAGCCCTTCACTGCTGAGGACCGCTTGAAACATTCAACCGTGCATGAGCGAATGGCAGTGAACCCACCCTGGCGTTTTGTTGGTGATTGCTTCCCATGGGTCGGCAAGTATACATTACGTTTATGACATGATGCTTTGAGTTCCACCAAATCAGTCAGGTCACATACTGTACCTTACAATACAATTAATGCAAACATCCTAAAGGATGTGCCACTTAACTTTTACAGGCTTATGTTGTAGTAAAAAAAAAAGAACATACCTCATGTATTGTCAAGGCTATGATGGTCAAGTTATTTGGTCTTCAAGCAGCCGGGATGCCTTTATATACTTTTGCACCTGAAGTTCGTGGGAAGGAAACACAATTTTCAAGGCGAGTTGACGACTGACATGACTGAAGTATTTGCAAAGCGCGGCTGGTTCACGCTACATCAGCGCGCTGCAAGGGCATGTGTAGTAAGACAGCATTTTCTCGTCCCAGTATAACCATGGAGATACATGTAGAACACAGCCGGGATATGCACAAGCGGATCGACCGTAGCTGTGTACATTTCGTTATCTGACGATGGGTTACGTTCTCTCAAGAATAATGGGCGTGGGCAGGCCAGGCCCTTGACCGCGCAGAATCACGGTCACCCTGTCAATTTTTGAGAACTGTTTTTATGAGGAAATACGTGTACCAACAAGAAGTCACCCTCTTTGTATAATCCATCGAGCATCGTCGTGAAATAAATTACGATAGTCGCGATGTGTTGTGTTCCTAGCTCTATGGTTTGATAGTTCATGATTTGAATGTGTGGTTAAACTCCTCAGAGGGGCCATAAAGACTACACAAAAGAGGAATCCTTCAAACATGCCCCAAACGATTGCTCCTTTATAGCCTCCCTGAGATTGTGATTCTTGGCCGGCCAGCCCTTGCTTGCCCAATGGAATCACCCGACAAGAAAGAATTGTTATTACGTAGGGTGCACAGCTATCGATCAGAGGTTGTGAAACTTCTCTTCTCATCGCTGTTTTTCCTGTTTATGCGACTTAAAGCTTGACATAGAAAAAGGCACTGAGAATTAAGACGACCCCCCCAAAAAAAATTATACTGACGTGTCGATGCTTCTGATATTTTGGAAACCCAGCCATCCGGCAATTATTCATTTGCAAGAGTGAAAACTCTACTCTCCAAAAAGGCGAGTCTTTTTTTAGACCATTCCAAGTAATGAAAACCCCTTTTAAAATTGTGAAATTACTCCTTAAAAGTGGAAATCACTCCTAAAAAGTGGAAATTACTCCTAAAATTGAGTCATTATCATAAGAGACAACTCTTTTTCGAGTTGTCACTGTCTTAATACACGTATATGGCTCCTTGAAAGAAGAGACATTTTACTCTTCTGGAGTGGTTTTGACCCGTTTTAAGTAATTCCCCCCCCCCGGTGATTCACTGGTATTCGTTTGGAGTGGAGTCCACTCTTTTTGTAGTGATTTCCCCCCTTGAGTGGTTTACATTGGATTCACTCTTGTAGAGTGATTCCCCCCCCCCCTCAAGTGGTTTTATAGTGGATTCACTCTTTTGGAGATAAGGTTTTCACTCTCATGCAAGTATAGAGCAAGGCTTAATATAGAGCACTTAATTGCGAGTTTTAATTAACTGTTCTGAAATACGGTTTAAGTTTCATTAGTTACTTTCGTCATTATGTACAGCGCTTAATTTTGTACTGGCCTTGCCGCCGCATCTGTCACCGTGCGGATGTGTCGCCATCTTGTCAAATGCAGTGATGCGTGCATGCCTACTTTAACCCAGGGACAGCTGCATGATAGTTTCACGTGTAAAAAACTGTTCCCTGTAGGCCTACATGTGCGCTTGCGTAATAATTTGATTTATTCGTACGAGCGTGCCTAGTAGTAAAAGGCTAAATATTCAGTGACTGGAAGGTGATGGCGAATTCACTGAGCTTTCGGTCATGACTATTATTAGGAGGTAGGTTAATGATCATTAATGTCAAGACTATTATAAATCTTTCCACTAATTCAGCAACAGTTCTGATGAACCGACTTTTCAGAATATATACATAGTTGTATACAATGACTTCGTCGCCCAAGAGCCACTGGGAATGGCTGGAAGAGACGGAGGCGTTGTTCACCAGGTTGGAGGCGGAGCCAGGATGGACGCAGATGAGGAGTACAAAGACTGACCACCAGACCAAGTACCTTTTCTCCCGGGCAGTGACAGAGAACGGGCCCATCATCCATTTTGCGTTATTCCTGCACGAAAAAGACGGAAAGCTGCGGGGCCTGTGTCAGTTTGGGGAGGATGCCAACTCTTTCATGAAAGGGTGAGAAAGATTACCTAGCTGAAGCCACTCTCGAACCAACTGCTTTGTCTGTTATAGCGACTGGACATCGCCTGGTACGTTGAGATTAATCCCGAAGAATTTTCCGTTGCTGTAAGCCAACTTGTCAATAAGGATCTCAGGTGGAAAGCGTTTGGGCTGAAACAAAAAGGTGTGTCGGTGTGTTTTCCCACACAAATTTCTCAACAAGTCAACAGGCACAGTCCCGATCAACTTGCTGGACTATTCATAAATTAATGCTACATTATCATAATTTTCGCCTTTTGTCACATAAGAATTTCTGGTAATCGAATTATCATTACTAAAAACAAACTCAAAGCTGGGGATATTTGTAAATTTATAGATCTTAATTGAAATCGTTAGGTAGATTTTTTTTGGCTGATTTGCCAGGCTTACATTTATTGGCGTGCAGGAGAAACCTACTTTCCAACCCCTCCTAATTACCACAAACCCCTCCCCCAGAATAGCGATTGTGTTGGTTCTCTTTATCCTACCGTTAGATCGGTTCACGGTGGTGCCATTGCAACAATGCACGACACCACGACGGGCGTTCTAGCGATGAACATGGGCACCAAGAAGATGTACACAGGCTACCTCAATACTACATTCCTCAGGTTCGTGCCTAAAATGATAGAGACTGTAACGTCATATTCAAACTCCACTCTGCCCCATGTGCCCAATCCCTGACGCATACATATTATTTTCGGCTAGATTTTAAGCACAACATGATTTTTATGGAATGCATCTGATTTCTTTGGACGCCTACCAGAGCTACCCAACTCATAGTTTTCACTACACGCGTAGCAAAAAGAAGAACTCAAACATCGAGACAAAGTGTAAAAAGAAAGGTTTATCTCCATTCGTACGTTATCATTTTGTTTAATTTCGGTTTTTCTCTGCCAGGCCTATTAGGGTGAGGTCGACTGTCCTCATGGAGGCCGTCATCGACAAAGTGGACGGCAATAAGACGTTCTTGAAAGGGTACCTGAAGAGTCCCGATGAGAAAACAGTCTACTCAGAATGCACAGCTCTGTATGTGAATGCCGATAAGGCTGCTGGAAGTAACATGTAATTGGATATTTTGAAGGAACTATTATGAAGTGTTATAATCTCTTATTATTTCTCTGTTGTTTCACCGACTTCTAAGTTTTGTTAATTTTCACGTTTATAATCCTTCCTGTTTATTCAGATACTAAAGTTGAACACTGAAAGTCAAAAATCACCGTAGCCGTAACTTATCGTCAGATTGTGCCATGCGCCTACGGGTAAACTAAACACAAAAGCAAGTGTGCAGCCAGTATAGACCTTTTTCACCCACGTGACTAAATGTAAACAATACCACCACGTGTGGACCGCCTTGACCACGGTGATCGTATATATTCCTACGGGCAGCTTCAACCACGGTCAAGCGCACGTGCGAACGCTGCACGCTTGACTAGTTTATCTTGAATAACTAGATTACCATCACAACACTATGCACACATTACCATCACAACACATCAGAGGTCCAGCACGATCGTGTTATCACTGGAAAAAGGTCTATTCAAGGTATCTCATCTTGCTCTTTATAATTTAACAAAACATCATAGAAAATTATTCTGTTTCATTTTTAATTAGTGATTTTAGAAAAGTCTTATAATTGTTAAACACTCAGGTGGCCTTTTTTTAATGGTCACAACCTAAGTTTTTTGTTTTGTTTTGTTTATTGTAGATTTTTTGGCAGTTTGAATTAGGCAGGACTGAGTTTGCTTGCATGGTGACGACATGGTCAGCTGATTACAATGACATTAGTCCACTGAACAATTAAGCATCAGAGACACAACCGAATCAGTCTTTGTGATAACCGCCAAAATGCACCTCAGTGCAGATTATAGCAAATGTGTTTAGAACGATATACGTGATAGAACGGTGAACATGGAACAACGTACGGTATTACCTAGTCATAATCTCGAACTTATGTTATTAAAGAACTAGAAAAAAACGAAAAGGTAATTTAAAGGATTTAGACTCACGGAATCTACTCTATACAATGATGTTCTGTTTAACAAAGCTTTTGAGTACGAGGGACATTACTAAGAAAAAGTAGAAACAGGTGGTCGCGAGAGCGTTATTACCTCTGACAGTGACTGGATATTAATGAGCCACAAAGGGTATCATTTTGAAGTCTGGATATTCACAATCTGCAACCACGTGGGTCAGTAGAGGGCACCATACTAACTCAAGACTTAGTTCCACAGAGGGCGCTTTTTCCAGAGATGAGCACTGCGCGCGGGGTGAGGCTATAAGCCAGGCACTCCGTGCATGACGTCGCTACGCAAAACATCGCTGCATGAAAACCCATTTACTTAACACAGATATGGTGGACCGACTACGGACTACACTATAAACATGGAGGAAGGAACAACACGCTCACGACTAGGTCACGCGTGCACGATGAGTTACAATTGGGTATTCGTACATGGGCAGTTGAACAGAGCCACACGCGTAGTGACGTCGTGCCTGGCTTTTAGCCTCACCCCAGCGCGCGAACTTGGATAAGTTCATAGTACGTTTTATAGATCCACGGTTCGACCGACGTCAACGTCGCCCAATCGATGGAAGTTGAACCACACCTTAAGGCCTGATCGATTGAGCCATTCGCAAGGAGATCCTTTTAAGAGATGTCACTGACCACGAACGATGCAGAGAGTTGCAACCAACGGCAAACTGTGAGTGACATTTTGGATGTGTTCGCGTGGTTGCTTGTGCTAATACGAGGAAGATGTTGCGCATTACACTCTTGCTGACCCTCGGGTCGTAGCGCTTACTAACACTAGTAGATTGCTCGATCGCACCAGAAATTTTACTTGGGTTGCTATGACTGTACTGCGCATGTACATCATCAAGAAGCGATTAACCACACAGCTAAAATGCAAGGCACCCCGCCACACTAGCGCATGGGGATTTCCACCTCGTACCCACGTAACGAGTGACATGGTGTATTTTCGAGTGGCGAGGTATTCTGCAACGCGGGTTAACAATGCTACGTGCACTTGACAGAAAATTTCGATGTTCTATGAACCTGTTGTTCCAAAAAAGCCATTTGCGAGTTAAATTTGAATAAAATCTGGGGCACAGAGTTATCTGACGGTACGATTTGAATTCCTCAGACTAAAGACACTGTTGCTATACCTCTTGATTTGGGGCAAGCTTTTGCATAGCGCCCACCATCTCTGGAATGGACTGGTTCCTTTGTGCCCTTCTTATCCATTGAAAACAGTGTATTGTTGCAAGGCGTCTCTTATGTAACTAAGCAAAAGCTTGGCCCGAATCACGAGGTGTAGCAACAGTGGTTTTAGTAAGGAGAATTCAAACTGTTGTGTTCACGTGAATTTAAAGAGCTCAGTGTACCAGATTTGGGTCAAAGTTAACTCGCAAAAGGCTGATTCCAAGCGCTTGAAGGTTCACGAAAGACTATAATTTGCACGCTTTTCGCTGTGACTTCTACTAACAAAATAAACACTGGCTCTTTTAAACCGATGAAGGGTTACTTCTGATCAGGGCGGATAGCGTACATGATATAGAATTGTAGCCTACCTTTCACCAGGAATGGGTATAGTGAGCTTCAGCACACTGCTTGATAAGGATTCAATATAGCCAACCAATAGGAAGATTTCCGTAAATGTAAAGAAAAGAGGGAGAGTAAAGATAAATCTGAAAGGTTGCCCGGAAATTGTACTGTTTCGGTTGTATGATATAGTGTTTGGAAGAAAGCATCACAGGATATTCAAATGCCTTCGGCCTATAACCGTCCATGCAGACCTTGGCAAATTCCATCGCGACACGGAGAAAAGCAACCACTTCCAATTTGAGAGACGTGTTTCGTTCTTATAGACCTTCATCATGATACTTCCATGTTTGTCTTGTTCGCTGTAGACCCATGGGCAATAGTAATTACACAACTCCACATATTTATGAAAGGGAACAGAATATTTCCTTTCCAGCCTCAGTTTGGTTACATTGCTTTGGTATAGAAAAGCAACATGGCTGCCCCATAATAGAGGTCTATTGACCAACCAATACTACCCAGTTGAGCCCAGCCGTCAACGGTGTCCAACTGGCATGTTTATTGTGTGGACAGAATTGACATGGCTGAGACACGTTGGAGTGTTGGCACACACTGAGACAACTTCTTTTTAAAAAAAAGCCATTTTGTTTCCTCCTTGGAAAACGTCGTACCAGTGTGGCATTGCATTTTAATTCGTCTGTTTGGTGTCAAAGAGAAAATTCACTTCGCCTGGGCTCAATGATTGCTTAACCGTGTATTAAACTTTAGGAAAAGACTTTATACTGCTCAATATGAAACAAATCTGTCTTCTTGAATTATGGCGGGCTGATGAGGGCAATATATACTGCACTTCTGAAATCAATGTTATTCCTACAACGAAAACATACAAGGTAAACATGTACGAGCTAGGACGTAACAAAGAAATACAAATTGGGGTTGCCCTGAAATATTTTCAGTGCAATGTACACAAAATTTGCACAGGGGACTTAACGTTTACATTAAAAAAGACCCTTAAAACTAACTCTGTTTTTTTCAAAGCGAGCCATTTTTTTTCTGATGGAAGTGAACTTTGGCAACCTGAAACCTAAATGACACGCAACTTGAGATGGTTGCGAAAGCAGCACAAAGGTTTCTCGTTGGAAAACAACAGGAACCTCTGTCACCTAAAAGAAAATAAATAAAAAAATTGTTGGCCGTTGCGTAAAGTGGGCATGAGGTAATTCGGGTGTAGGTCGGACCGTGTGAAGGTCGCGAGTCGATTTGTGCCCCGTCGGTCATCTTGCGTTTCGATGATTGACTAAATCATGTTTTCTGGCACCACGGAGTTTCAGAACATGCGGACGACAAAATAGTCTTTTGTTGTTTTTTGCTGTGCAAATACCAAATGTGTTTGTAAGGAGGCAGGGCAGATTTGCTAGGGTAGTGAATAAAGAAACATAAGGGAGATATTCGCTATTGGGTTTTCCTAACCGTACTGTACAAGAAAGGCAAAAAACGTATATTTTAGGGGGATATATGTGGACAGTTCATAGGGCCATGCGAAGTTAACGTTTTAAAGTTCAAAGGTGTAAACGTTTGTGTATGAGTACGTGGGAACAGACTCTCCATAGGGAATTATTTACGCGTATGGGTGTTGTAGAGTTCCGGTTAAAATGTTGGTTCAAAAATAAAGTCCTAATATGTTTTGTTGTTTTTGCGTTTTTTATTGACTGAAAAAGGAAGGAGATAATGTTGTGCTTTTATTTCTTTCATTAAAAGTATCATTTTGGTTAAAAAGGGTTATGCAATCGTGAAATAATTCTCCTCGTACACACAATTCAGGTACACGAGTAAATGAAGAGACATCCATTGATAACTTACCAGTGTTCACAATAATATTAATGTGAAGTTCTAACAAGAAACCTCAATACTTAAGGGGTACACTTTCTTAAAATCCATATAATTATTAAAAATAATGCTCTGCTTCTGTAAGGTAAATTTACTAAGGTATAAATAATATAAGTGGGGTAGCGTGGGAGGGCAAGAGGACCGGGGGGCAACTGCCCCTTGCGGGAACTCCCCCCCCCCGGGCCTAGCGACCCATGGGACTGCAGAGGTGACAGAGATTGTCTCAGAAGGAGCACAGAAGTGCTTCGTCGGAATGAATAACAGGAACTTCTGTCACTTGATAAATAAAGCAGTGATATAATCAGCCATTGCATGTGTAAAGGTGACTCCAGCAAGAGTTAGGCGGCCAGGGGTTCACGTTGACTCGACCTCAAATTTTGATCGATTTAACAGAAAGTTTACGAGTGCGTGTCTCATTCTGTATCTTACTGTCATCCAAGTTAGTTACCTCGCAGTTTTGGAAATTTCCACTGTGTCTTTGATCAAGTGTTTGTGTCAACATACAAAATTCCCTTGACTTCCTTCCAACGGACGTTAGTAACATTCTATTGTGATAGCAGCTAAGACATGTTTACAGTGGGTACGGGGTAACTCGTACGAGAGTTGACCGGGGACGAGGTGACTGGGGTATAATATTTGATGACTTGCTTTGTTCACAATGAACAGATTTGAGTGTGCCAATGAGATTTCTCCAGTTTTGACAAGAACACACCCATCCGGAATAATCTACCAATAAGACTTGACCAAATATGAGGGCAGTGCCAGTGACATCGTGCAGGGGCCAATCATAAACCATTGCAAGTTCTCCAATCACTCCTCAGGAAGAAATGGCTGGCCAGTTTAAAGGCACGAGCGGCAGCTCCGCTCCTCAGAACGACTACTGCTCATCTTTATCTAGCAACAAGATTGTAAGCGAGAGATTACCAAGTGAGTCTTCAACTCATACAGTAAGTATTTTTGGAATAATACTAATTCTAATGCAAAAACTGGACATTGTGATTTCAAATAAGGCTCTGTTGCTTGGGTGCCAAGGGTTATCTGAATTTGGATTCCGCAAAACATAGCCAAAAAGCATAGAAATCAATGCTCTTGTATATTGTTTGCTGTTATGTCTGCAATATGAAATGTTTAGATTTGCAGTTGGTTGAAACGAACCGCAAGGAATATTATGAAACGCGTAATGTCATTATTGTTTTCCGTTTAATTCCCCCTTTTCAGCCTGGAGGCAAAGTTGAAGTTGAAATAAAGTAGCGTGTCGGCCATTTCGATATTTTGGCTTGGACCCAGACGTCTAGAAGACACCTACAAGGTGACATTCTTTTTTGTCTTCTTTTCAGGAAAACTAATACCGGACTACGCGAGGCTTGCGACACCAAGCATACCCAAATAATTATAATTATGATACTTCACTAAAATGTATACATGTACTCGCACTGTTTAGTCTTTGTTGAGATAAATTCTCATACTAGAAGGGGAGTTCACTGCGATGTCTTTGCATATACCCTCCGACGTACTTTCGGAAACCCGTTGCCTTGTTCTACATTCCCTGAAGGGATTGCAACTTTTATACTGGGCGCGCAGGAGGCGTGGCCTGAAATTTTGAAAGAAAATTGTCAGAGCATGACACTTGGTGGTTTCTGCTGGTCATCTGTTCAGAGGAATAGTCCCGAGATACCGTTTCTGCTAAAAAAAATGTTAAGTGCTTCGTCTTGGGTTCACGTTTCACCTCAGCAAGCTTAGGAATTTATCCACCAGCTCTCGGGAGGCCCTGACCATACGTTTCTTTTGATTTTTACAATTCATAGAACACGTCTAACGAAATGTTTGCTGGAAGAAGTGAGTTTTATGGCGGTGGGAAGATGTGCCCCTCTCCACCCAGTAATAAATGGGTACCTGTGAGGGCAAATTTGGTTGTTTAGCCGTCTGTGCCTTATATGGCTGCACCGGGGCATTGTACACTCAGGGAGCTGAGCCTGTTTTTAGGAAATTATTCAGATGTCGTGTGCCCATTGCGCAGGGATAATAAGAACAGTGCCTTGGGCACCTTCATGGTGGATATGTTTTGCGCTTTATAATTGACCATTAGTATAATTCAGCTGGACCTCGATTCTCACTGTTCCCTAGAGCCTGAATTCTTATTTTTATGCTTTGTTTGAGTAAGATGGGTGCGTCATCCTGTGCCCCACGCCCTTTTTGGATACAAGATTTCACTTTGGTTAATTTGAGGAACTCTATCAATATCATTAATTTCTTAATTTTTTCCTCTTATTTCTATTACATGTATTTAATTTATTTTATAGATGAAAATGCGTTTGGCGACCATCTTTTCGATTGCCATCCTTCTGGGTAACTCTGGCAAGCTCCGAGGTCAACCTGCTGAGTCACATGAGTGTTCAAGGTGCTGCCAGGGACCCCCCGCAGGGGTACCCGGAATACCAGGCGTGCCAGGCAGCCCAGGCCCTTACGGCCCCGCAGGGCTTAAAGGAGACACGGGTAGGTCCATTCAGCGCTACGCTAGACTTGAATCAAGTCGGACTTACGTTGCTCTTCCTTAGTCAGCCATCCCTTCAATAAACTCTCGTCGCGCTCGGCCCGGCAGCTCGCATAACCCTCACAAGACGCCCTCATTATCGCATTTATTGTACAACGTGTGTATAAGTCACCAGTCAGTAAATCCGACTTGACGGATAAGCCAATCGGGCCCCCTGTAGGTAATATATGTAGTTATTCATAGTTGCATATGAACGACATGATCTTGCATAATGTTACGGAATTCCCTCCAATCAAAGTAGTCAGACTTGTAGATTCGTTCATTATAATGCAGGTATGAAGGACGTAAAAACAAGTCCGGCATTGTGATTGGCTGCTACTACTTTTGGTAGTTCGCTCATTAGCTGCAAACGGTTGGCAGATTCGTCAAGGCGGGATTTCTGAAATGAACTCATAGCAGTAGGTGGACACAAGAGGGCGCGAATCAAGTAACGACGAGAAGTCTAGCTCGATGTGTATCCAAAGTGCAGAAACGAAAACGTCAAAGAGATCCCAATGGAATTTTTCCATACTATGGAATTCCACATCTGCCGTCGTGCGTCGTCTGTCGCCCGTCGTGCGTCGCCCGTGTTTTTTTTTGTCACGATTGCGCAGTGGTATTTTTAACTTTGACCCTTGATCGTTTCACATGTACATGTGCTTGTTCGATCGATCCACCATGCCTGACTCTCATTTTAGCAGTAGAACTAGAAGGTGTATTCGTTTTTGCAGTAGCGCCGAACTCCATTTGAAAGAAGAAATAATATCGTGACATCGGTTAAATGACGTGTATATGAAATAATACCATTTTTGTTACATAAATAAATTAACAAAATAGACTTTTGTTAGGGTAGATTGTTTTTCTCGATATATTAGTTACTCTTGACGTAACTTTACTCGTTAACGGCCTGACTTTAGGTCTATAGCCTATGTAATATTTCTGTCTGTCTCTGCACGATATCCCACAGAACTGAATGTAAATAATAAATTATTTACAATGTTTGATCCCATAATAGTTTTCATAAGAGACTGATTCAACATTATTTTGAGGGCGGGTATACCTATGATGAAATCTGCTGTATACTCCAAATTAGTTGCAGGTAGGCTCACAGAAGTCTTTTAAACAGTAACGTTACTTGTTAGCCCCATAAATAATGCTGATGTGCTGGACAACCTGTTCTCATTGGTCTATCCACCATGCATACACATTCACAAAACCAACACGTCACATTCTCTGAAACTTAAACCAAGTGGTAATTGCCCTCTAACAATACATTTAATAAACAGTTTGTTATCCACAGCACGTCTAGTATTTCTGGATTTCAAGGTGAAATTGAGAGGACAAAATGGAATATCTGTATCGGTTGGCAGATTTCTCTCTAGAATTTGATCAAAACAAGTTGGCACATTTTACAATATGCAAATTAGAATTAGACTGTGGATAAGCTGGCCTAAACATTTTTGCTGAAAATGTTTTCCCCCTAAAAAGACTTGGTTGAATTCTCAGAAAGGCGACATTTTCATGTCAAGGGGCAGGGGTAGTCTAGCATTATTGGCATTAATTATGGGACTAGTATAGCAGGTGGGATTTGTACTTGCCTTATTGGGAAAAGATCGTTAGAAGTGAATGGAATCATCGCATTGTCATTTGTTAAAGCCCGGCTTTTGCAGGTCCTATGCAACCCATTTGATGGGCGACGCGCTTACCTTAGGGTTATTCAGCTGCGTATAGGGGTTCCCCCTTTACCGCATCTCGTGTTGGGTATCCGTGGGCGTCACGGTGCTGCAAGCAGGGACCCAGGGCCTAAAGGGGACAACGACTGGAATATAGGCATAGGAAAGGGGCACTCTGGTACTTTAAGTGCGATGGTGTTTTGGTTCGAATTCCATGGAAACCATGATGCCTGTGCTCTTTACTTTTTTTGTATTTCATTTACCCTATGTATTTATTTGATTGACTGAGCAATCGATATGTCGATGAGGGAGTTAAGTTTTCTCTTTAAATAGAGGCATCAAAAATGTACGGTTGGGCAACCCGGAGGCCACATACAAATTTACACACTCGCTGGTGTACATTCGTTCCTGCACAGAATCATTAAAAAGTGTACATGCAGTGACCTCGAGAAGAATAAAAATGTGGCTACCGACAAAACGAACACTCCCACCAGCATGGCTCCTTCAATTCCTACCCTTGAGGAGGTGCTTCTGCTCAAAGCGGAATTTTGAATGAAGCCATTGCCATAGATCATTTCATTACTAAATCGTACGTACGAAATAGCAATTAATCCGTCCGTACAAAGTAATATTTCATGCGAGAGGTGGTAATTCATACGTTCGAAATAGTAATTCGCAGGCCTAGGCCTACATAGGAAATAGTAACTTGTACGTACAACTAGTAATCCTTATGGGATACCAATTCAGTTTTCTTTCCATGACATTTCCATAGGTACCTCAGAGCTCTCTATGCTCTGAGGGAGTTGTCAAGCTACCACCAAAAGTCTCATACCAACCAGTAA